AGATCTGGCCCACCAGCCAACCCCAGCCGCTCGCTCACTCCCCACCCAGGGGATAGGGGACAGAATTGGGGGTAAGGAGACTTGTAAAGTGAGATAAGAACAATTTAATAATTGGAATTAAATAATTTTTAAAATAATACTGATATTAAAATAATAATGATAATAATAATAGTAATAAACATGCCAATGAGTGACACCCAGTGCCATTGCTCACCACCCGCCCACCAAGCCCGGCTCGTTCCCAGATCACGATCCCGGAGGAGCCACAATCCTGACCCAAAACAGCAGTCCCGGGAGAGCCAGAGCCCGAGCGAAAGCCAGAGAGAGCAAGAGAGGAAGAGCCCCTCATGGATCTCCTGCCCATGGGGGACAGGAGATGGAACAGCCCCTTGGCAGAGCCCAATGCCCATGGTTCTGAGTCATTGCAATATTCCTCACCCCCATAGATCTTGCGCTTGTAAACTAGCAAAACGCGAAGTCCTTCAACTTCCAGCGACAATTGAAAACATCAGGATGTTCTCAACGTTTCTCTCCTACCAAATCCCAGCTGAACCCAACCCCTGGCGCTGATCTGGCTGCTGGAAAGAACCCAGCTCTGTAAGACCCCTCTGATATCTGCCTGTGAGTGATGAACTGAGTATCCTGTGTGTGCTCAGGGTGATGGGTAAGTTGGGAAACCAAACTGCTCAGAGATGTCAATACCTGATTGTCCCTCCTGGAAGCAGCATCACCAGGGTCTCTGCTTGGTTTCCACCACTGTATTTTTTGCCAAGCATGTAAGGACTTTGCATCTTTGCAGCCTCAATGCCAACAATTGATTTGGATTTGGTGGCCAATGGGTTAATAAAGTCACGAGTGGAAGACATGGACTACTTTTCCTCTTGTTCTGCTGCCTTGTCCATGTTCAGCAAAGTGTTTCATTAACTAACAATGTTGAGCTGTTTGGTCCAGCTCTGGAGAAGCATTTTAATAAAGTTAGGGATGTAAATAAGGTTCTGGAGCCAAGCAAAGCTCAGTCTTGGTTGTCTTCAAGCCTTGTCCTTCACAGTTCATAGTGTAACAAATCTAATGGTTACCAAACAGCCCACCCCTAGTGAACCCAACTTTCCTCTCATGGGCCCCAAAGCCTCTTCCAAAGCTGAGGGCAGGCTGTTGAAGAACTATCTTTGCTTGCAAATCCAGCAGTGAGGATATCACAAGAGTTTGTGGAGGTGCAATGTAGCGTGACCCTTCTTGTCACCCACAGAAAACATATGAACCTCATCATCTCATCCCTCCATCGTCATCTTTCCCAGGAAGGAGCCACTCCGAGGTGCTTCAACCACCTTTTCTCAGTCTCAAAGTGACTGATGACAAAATGGGTCCCTCCTCCTGCCTGAAGGCTTTGTTCCAAGCCGGGAATAGATTCCCATGCCACACAAGACATGCCATTATCACCCTGAAACAATGCCAAGCAGAGAAGGAGAAAGCCAGAAAACTTTCCAGGAGATATTCCCAGAGCTAGCCACCCTGTCCAGTTTCACTGCCAACTCCCAGTTGCTCTGGCTGCCATCCAGCCACTGGTTTGGCTGCTCTTTTCTGTGCTGGATTTCAGTGCCCAGGAGCCTCTCTTGCTAAAAGAGCCCTCAGGTCTCCAAAAAAGCTACATCCAGAGGATGGTGAAGTCACCTCTCTGTATTTTGTATAGCAAGCTTAGCAAATGCAGGTCCTTCAGCTCCTTCATGCAAAGCTCTAACCTTCAAGTGATTTTTTTGGGGACTCTGCTGCGCAGAATCACAGACTGGTGGGGGTTGGAAGGGTCCTCGTGGGATCATCCAGTCAAACCCTGCTGACAAAGCAGGTTCCCTACCCCAGGTTGCACAGGAAAGTGTCCAGGTGGGTTTGAACATCTCCAGAGATGGAGACTCCACACCCTCTCTGGGCAGCCTGTCCCAGGGCTCTGGCACCCTCACAGGAAAGAGGTTTTTCCTTAAGTTTGTCTGGAACTTCCACTGTTCCAGTTTGTGCCCATTGCCCCTTGTCCTGTCACTGGGCACCACCGAGAAGAGCCTGACCCCATCCATTGACCCCTCATTTCAGATATTTATAGACATTGATCAGATCCCCTCTCAGGCTGCTCTTCTCCAGGCTGAACAGTCCCAGCTCTGTCAGCCTCTCCTCATAAGGCAGATGCTCCAGGCCCCTCGTCATCTTTGTGGCCTCCGCTGGACTCTCTCCAGAAGATCCCTGTCCCTCGTATTTTAATCCCCTCTTGAAGTAGGAGCACAAGTAGTTGCAGAGACATGATAGCCATGCTGCTGGAGCTGCACACAGAGAAGTATGATGTCTTGGTGGGACTGATTTTGGGTTCAGTCTCTGTGTGGCTTTGGGCAATCTTTTTTTGAGGGGGTCTAAAATGGGAACAAATATTCCTTTCTGTGCAGAATCTGGATTTCTTGAGGTAATGTTGCATCTTATTGAGGTTTGAGTGTGCAAATATCCTGAAGTCAACTGGTCTTTGTGCATGTGGTCATTACTCTGGGTAAATCATAGAGTCATAGAATGGTTTGGGTTGGAAGGGACCTTAAAGCTCATCCAGTTCCAACCCTCCTGCCATCAGCAGGGACACCTTCCACTAGGCCAGGCTGCTCAAAGCCTCATCCAGCCTGGCCTTGAACACTTCCAGGGAAGAGCATCCACAGCTTCTCTGGGCATATGGCTGTTGAAATATCTGTCTTTGCTATTCACGGAGGAGATGGTGCTTTGGATCAGGACATGGCAGTCAGCAGGTGCCAGTGTTAAGAGCATAATTCCTTCCTAGGTGGGGACGTGTTGTGGTATCTATCCACACAAGAGTTTGTAATTAGAGGTTACAAAGTGCATCCTTTAAATATATGATTTGGATCCAAATAGGATTGCTAAATCCCTGCAGATCGCATTCCTCAAAGCCTTATAAATACAGGTTACTTCCTTCCTCTTGCAGTGTCTCAGAAGCTTTATGGTGGAGCTCCACAATGACAACCAAAGCCATGAAGATACTCTTCCTGCTTCTTCTTCTTCTCCCCTCAGTGTCCCAGGCTGCTACAGGTAAGTGTAAATGCAACTAAGGGGCATTTTTGTGTTTGGGAAACCAGGAACGATTCTGTAAATGATGGGGAATGAACTTGTGACACATGAGTAGCTGGTGTGGTACCTGGTGTTGAACCTGCCTGGCTTTGAGGGGTCAAACTCCAGTTACCCAATTCCAATGCTGAGGAGAGAGAGCACCAGAGTTTGCAGAAGTCATGGATGCTTTCAGACATCGCAGCAAACCTCAACAGGGGGTTGATGATCTCCTGGATATACCACTTGTGGTATTGGCAGATGGAGCTGTTGAGAACATGGGGACAAGCTTTCTTCACACATGCAAATCCAAAGAAAGATGTTTACAGGCTCTTTTTCTCCATTACAGTGTCAGACACCGTGACCTGTCGGAAGACCAAGGGCAAGTGTTCATTTTTTTTCTGTGTCCCTTTTTTAAGAGAGCCACCGGTACCTGCTACAATGGTCTGGCAAAGTGCTGCAGGTCCTTATGGTGACCCTCCAAGGTCCATGCAGGGGCTGGTAGTGTTGGCAGCATCATCAGCAGCGTCAGCAGTAGCGTGCTTTTGTCCTTCTTTACACAGGTATGTGTTGGGTTTGGTGCTGTCTTTCCTCAGAGCTGGTGGAAGTTACTTCTGCATGTGGCCATGTGTCTGCTCTTCACTCATGGATCTCCACCTGGGAAATCAATGTGTGGCATCTCCTCATCCACTGGACCCTGTCCCTCCACTCTCACCAAGGCAGGGTTGAACTGGTAGCCTGAATCTGAGCAGCTCCTCGCTTCTGCCTGACAAGGGTGGTTTGAGGTGGGACTCAGGCAGATTTCCTCCTTGTGTTGGGGGAGAATGTGGTGTGTCTCATGTGATGCTGAAATACCACAGCAGACCTCACCCATCCCATATGCTCTCCTGTGGTAGCCACTCATGGAGCCCTGATGGCCTCAGTTGCCACCCTGGTGTCCCAAAGGGAGAGGACAAGGCTGATTTCCAACCACTGAAGAAGTTTAGTTGGGAAAGGGCTTCCTGTTAGGGCCCTGCTGCTTCACCTTGGTTGAGACCATGGAGGGGTGAGGTGTGGAGGGCTGGTGCAAGGCAAGAAGGCTCAAACCTGACAGTGCAGCCCCCTGAGACCTTCCTCCAGCTCTTGGACTTCTGCCTTGCTCTTTCCACCCACCACATGCCAAAGGGATGGGGGGCAGGGACATGACTGCTTTCTCTCCTCACATCTCTCCCACCTTGTCCCTGCCTGTGATTTGTCTCTCTGTCTTCATCCTCACCAGCCAGATCCTACATGGTAAGGTCCCAGCTCCTCTGGCCAGACCTTCTCCCTCCCCTGGAGCACTGAATTGCTCCTGACAATGTAATATTGAGACATATCTTGGTTAATGTCTGTTCACTTGCCCACCTTCTCCATGCAGGATGTCTGTCTTTCCTGAACAGGTGGGTAAATGTGAAGTATAACCTCCATTCTCCCATCTTCCCTGTAGGACCTCTTTTCTCTTCCATAAGACTCTTTATTTCCCATATCCCCTTATAATAACCTCAAGATAAGATCTTTTATCTTCCACCTTCCCCATCCTGTATCCTCAGAAGATACTGTCCTGGCTCGGCCATCTATCCAGCCTCTCAGAGGACATCTGGCTGATTCAGAGCCTGTTCTGGAGGAGAGGTCTGATCAACTCTCATTTGATGTCTATCATGGCACAGCAAGGGCTGGAAACTGAAGTCTTCAGGGTTGTTCTGCTGTTCTCTAGTGAAATATCTCAGCCTTCCAGTATTGAGATCTGTGCTTTTTTTGTCTTCTCTAACATGTATTTGTTGTGTCCACAGAGACTGTGATTCTCAAACTATTTGAGTTGTGTAGATATCTAATAAAGCATGAGTAATAACACAACATGCTTTAAATAGTTCATTGGTGAGGTAGATTTTGATCCCTCTGGTTTTGAGGTGTGGAGCTTAAGTCCTGTAGATCTTATATCCAGCCACATCTCATCAATAGGCATCTCCAAAACCTGGGCAAAGCTTTCTAGCTCATCTACCTGAGCTCAACTCAAGAAGAGGTTTGATTAACTCCACAATCAGGGAGCTCAGATTTATTCAGCCCAGGAAGATGGCTTTAAAAAACACCTCAAGACATCTGTGCTGTTGGTGTAACAGCTTCTCCAGGCACAGCTAGTCCTGCAAGTGCACTGCAGCTGAAATTATTGCATAGCATGTTTCCACTGCCAAAGAAAAAAATTACTAATAATCAAGCTCTCCAAGCCCAAAGGTGCTATTTGAACCTTAATCATCTAATGATTTGAAAGTCCTTTGTACTTGTGAACTGAGGCTTGCACCACCCGTGGGAGGTAGCCAAGCAAACAAGAGGTACCTGCTGTTGTAATTAAGACAGGCTTTTCCACCCAGGATTAATTTTAACCCTTTAAAAAAAAAGTTCAGGAGTAAG